AATACTTACTAAATGTGTAAAATTGTGTTTTATACTTAATATATTTTTGAAACAATTTTCACAAAGTATTTTGAACCAAAATCAAGCCTTAAATCAATTTTTCAAAGGCATGCACCGATGCATCAATCCATGCATCGATGCATCAATGAAAAAAATTGAACATCGAATGCATTTCATGCACTGATGCACTATACATGCATCGATGCACTATGATTTTAAATGAAAACATCGAATGCATTTGATGCATTGATGCATACACCATGCATCGATGCATTCAGGCTTTTTCAAAACATCGAATGCATTTTATGCATCGATGCATACTTAGTGCACCGATGCACACTGATGCACCGATGCATTATGGTCATGCATCGATGCATGAGACGTTCCCAACCAGAAAATTAATTGTTTTCACACAATAACGGCTCTATCAACTCCACTAATCATCCCCAACGTTCAAAATCATTTGAATGAGTATTTAAACAAGCTTAGAAGCCATTGATCAAAAACAAGAAACAACAAGCAACTAGAATCAAGAGAGAATCAAAGAGAAAGCATCAAACCTCAAGTTTGAGCATTTCAAGCCTATTTTTCAATATTCATTTTGCTTTCAAGAACACTTTTGTACTCAATTGTATTCATTCTTGAGTGTTCTTTTCATTGTTCTAGAATTGTGCAAACATATTTGCCTTGTGAGGTTTTCCTTGTAAGTTTGCGAATTTGTAATCTTCTCTTTGAGAAAGAGTGTTCTCAAGAATTGGGGTATTTTCTTGAGGGAGTTGTAAGGTTATCTCTTTGGCCTCAAAAGAAAGAACAAATTAGTGAATTTGTTGGAACATCCTTAATGTGGATAGCTAAGGTAGTGGACGTAGACTTTGTTTGAGAAAGTCGAACCACTATAAATCGATGTGCAATTTCTTTTAATTTTCTGCAAAAAGCTTCCACCAAAATTTTAATTGCCAATTCACCCCCCTTTTGGCCGATTCCATCGATCGATTAACTCAACAAATTAAAATCTCTGAATATATTCATTCCTTCTCCCCTAATCTCATTAAATATGGTAATTTTGAATATTATATATTAAGGAGGAAACTTATCCATTGAATTGAAAGTCACACCATTATATCCGATACGATTTTAAATTTCTTTTATTATAGTTAAAATTTATGATGAGTTTGGTATATCTTTTAAAAGTGAGTTTTAAAAGTGAGATAGAAATGAACTTCTAAAAGTGTTGTGTGAAAGTATAATTTAAAATTTAATTGTTTGAGATTATTGTTAAAAAATAAATTTGAAAAGATAAAATGTTCATTATAAATATTATGTTGTAGATTAAAAATATAACATTTAAATTATATTTACACAGATATATATGAATCATATCAATTTAAACTATAATTAATTCAAAAGAATATTATCATATATGAATTATATCAATTTAATATACAATAAAAATATAAAAAATACAAATAAAAATATATTCTATATAACTCACTATTAATATTTTAATATATAAATTATGAATTTTATTTATTTTTAAATAATTAAAATAATTTATTAAAAATAATACATCATTTTTAAGGATGTTAGTTTTATATTATTAAAATAAAATATAAATGTATATTTAGTGGAGCTCATGTATTAGTAACGGTAAAATTATAATTTGTCTCCATACGCAAAGTTGAAAAATAAAAAAAATATAAATCTTAACTTTTGCGATTGGTTTGAAACAACCATTTCCACCATAATTTTTTTTCTTTTTTTCTTTTCCGTTTGTTATTGATTTTGTGGTCAAAATGATTTTTTTAGCTAAAAGTACTTTCAGAAAGCATTACCAAACAAACCTTTAAAATCATGGTTCGAAAGTCGATTTTCAACCTAACCTCAAAAACTCAAATATCTAACTTTTGTGGTAGAAAAGTACTTTTTGAGTGAAATTATATTTTTATCCCCAATTATTTAATTTAATTAGTTTTTAAATTAATTCACATACATGTATAATTGTTTATTAATTATATTTATTATTTTTTAAATTGATTGTTAAATATATATTGATAGAACTTTAATTTTTTTTACTTCAAGTACATATTATTTTTTTATCAAATATCGAAACAAGTATCTAAATTATTATTTCATAATAATTTTAAGTCTATCCGTTAAAAGTCTATTTTTTATAAAAATATTATATATATAAAGATATTAATAATGAGTTATCATAAAATATTTTTATAGTTTTATTATAATTCAAATTGATATATACCAAATATCATAATATTAATTAATATAAGAGAAAATAACTTCAGTGACCGAAAATGCCTTATAATATACGATTTTAACCAACTTTTTTTGGATTTGCCCAAATAAAGCCTGTCAAAGTGTATTTGGAACCATGATCACGCAAACCTTTTCGGTCCTCAAAGGCAGACGATAACTTTTTCCAGGTAGCTTTCCATAGATATGAACCCCACGGAAACATGTTCCATACATTTAGGTCATCTACCAATAATATTAGGTCCTCAGAAATAGGTTGTCTGGCCTCTTTGCCTAAAAAACTGGCATGCAAAAGTAATAAAAGGCATACTCGGACAACATCGAGGTCAACCATCCAAGTAAAACCATCTTTAACAAGTAATCTTTTCAAGTCATCGACGTGTAAACTCGGATTCGCCTTTGCCAGCTCAAGAAAAACCCGAGATAACCATGATGGGCGGGCGATATGACTAGTGTACCAACCTACTTCATCGTGTCCGAAGCGTAGACCAGTGATTAAGCAAAACTCCTCCCGCCCAAAACAAGTATACGCCGGAGGAAAATGAAATCATATCTCTTCATCAACACGTTGTATCTTGTCGGGTAGATCGTTAGTCATGGTCTGAAGAAACAAATGGGTCAACATAGCATCTCCACCTAGATGTTGTACTTTCAGCCATGGCCCGAAGCAAGTATCCTCAAACAATTTTCTTTGTATAGGTGTAAGCGTCGACACAATCGTAGTGGCTAGGCTTAATTTATTCCTTAAGGTCAATGAAGGCGAAAAAAATTTCTACAAAAACAATAAACATACCAAGTTAGATATACCAAAAACTAAAAATTATACACTATAATCAGACATGATATTAAACAGCAAAAACAAAGCCAAATGTGTTTCAAACTTGCACGGTATTCACCCAAGTCATTATTCTATCATAGTTCACAAAATGCATTAGATAACATTCCAGAAGTAAGCACTTATATAAACATTTAAAAGGACAACATATAGGTTTAGTGCAGGTTCAAGGACAACATAAAGAGTAGTAGTTTATTCTTGAAACTTAAATTCGCAACACTGTGAAGTTAGTATTTGTCTTTGTTTTTTGGTTGAAGTAATGCAATTCATTCAAGTTTCAATTTGCATAATAAGAATAGTTTCTGAAACTTAAAATCGCAACGCGAAACTAAAATCGCGTTGCGATTTTCATTTTCGCGTTGCGATTTTCATTTCGCGTTGCAATTTTCAGTTTCAAATAGTCTTCTGCAATTTGAAACTTGAATGAATTGCATTACTTCAACCAAAAGACAAATACTAACTTCACAGGGTTAAAGACTAAATAGTTTAGCAGTATTGGCAGCAACCGAATGAATTTACTAAGCAATCTAAGTGAAATTGTTAATCTATATATTGAAATTACAAGTAAATTTATCATCAATTTAAATATGAAAAATCTAATAATAATACAAAAATTTCGAAATAAAAAAACTAACCCTCGGTGGTTGATTTTTCATTTGTGACTCTAAGTGATGGAGATAGAGGGGGGTCGCCGGATATGGGGACGGATGTCGCCGGAGATGAGGACGAATGTCGCCGGAGATGGGGACGGATGTCACCGTAGAGAGTGAGAGATGGAGATGAGACTGATTTGCGATTTATGTTTTTAGGTTATGAGTTGTGATTTATGTGATATACTGTTTACATTTGTGTTACGATATTAATATGTCTATTAATATTCCAAATTCGCTTTTAAAATCGCGTTGCGAATATGAGAATCGCGTTGCGAATTTGGAAACTGAGTTGCGATATTGGAGTTCGCGTTGCGAATTCGAGATCGCGTTTCGATTTTGTTGGTTATTTTGGCAAATAAAAAAAAGTTGGTTAAAATCGTATATTATAAGACATTTTCGGTCACTAAAGTTATTTTCTCTAAATATAAATATATCAAATATATACTTTTAATTTGTAACATAATGTCTAAATGAATATTTTATCTTTTCAAACTTATTTTTTAACCGAAATTTCAAACAATTAAATTTTAAATCGTACTTTTCAAAATCACTTTTAAAAGTATTTTTTACAATACTTTTTAAATCACTTTTCAAAAATAATATCAAACTGGCGCTTAGTATATTTATATAAGACATGATATGTTTAAATTTTATTTATTTTTTAATCTTTATTTTGATCATTTTAAAATTATTGGATGAGTAAAAATATACAATTAAGATTAACAACAAAAAATGATAAGATATTCATATAAAAATAGGAAAATAATCGCAATCGTTTGTTTTCACTTATCTAACAATCTTAAAAATTATAAAACTAAAAATTTTACTATATATACTAGTGATTTATAATCTTATTATATAATTAACCTTTTGAATATTATAAGATGATTAAAGGTAGTAATTTATTCATCATATTTTTAAATCATTTATATTTTACACAAGTCTTATATATATAATTGTTCAAAATCAAAACTTTAAGGAGAAAACACTCATTTTAACTTTTTAACTACTTAAACAACTCAATAGATTTTATAATTAAAATTAAAATCAAATATTACAATATAGAAACAATCTAGGCATAATTTGGTGTAAGCATTCACATGCAACGAAACAAGGCGTGACGTTAATATATCCCATCATCCCCATGATGATGGATGGATGGATGTAGTTGATGAATACATGCGCATGTAACCACCACCACCCCCATGTAAATTAAGAAATGAAGAAGGGGAAAAACGAAAATTCAATCTAATGGAATGCAATTTTGACGTCCGCAAAGGACAATAAAATAACACTCCTTCTCTCTCTAGACACAGCGAAGCCGAAGATGAACTGGGCATGTACTTAGACAAGAAAAGAAAAATTGATTTGAGAGACGAGCGAAGAGTTCTTTTTTTTCCTGGTGAAATGAGTAAAAACCATATAAATTGCTTCAGTTCATTGAAGCAAAAGGTAAAAGAATTGAAGTGAGAGAAAGTTCAAAAGACAATTTGGGTATTTTTGTTTTGGGTGTGTTTTCATTGAAACCGAAGTTTTGAAGATTTGGGAAACTTCCTTTTCTCTTTTTTTTTTCTTTGCCCCTTATTCTTTGTTTATCTTTTCATAGTAGCAGTGGGATTTTTTTAAACTCTGGTAAGTCTTCTGAAAGTCTTTTTAGCTTTGACCCTTTTGTTATTTTTCTTTTATCTTTTCTGGGTTTATGTCCGGATCATTGATTTGTGCTGCTAGTGGCTGGATCGAGTTTAGTTGGGTTTTCATAATGTATTTGGTTTAGCATTAGTTTTTCTTTTAATAAAGTTGCAATTTTTTTGGGGGGAGGGGGGTTTGGAGGTTAAAAAATTGAGCTTGGTAAGTGGATTTTTGTGGCTTTATTTTAATTTTAAGTAATTTTGTTGGATTGTGATGAAATTTTTTAGTTTTTGAGATTTGGATTTTTCTTTAAAGGTTTGAGTGGAGTTTGATTCTATGCTTATTGGAATCTAAAGTTACATTATTTCTTGGTTGAAAGCATTAATTATATTTGTTCTAATTGTTACTATTTTTTTCGATATGATTTATGTTACAGTGGATCTGAAGATTCTCGTCTTCTTTTTCTCTATAGGAATTCATGCGAAAGCCTTCAACTGTTGGTTGTCTGTAATGTTAGAATGCTCAGAATCAGAGCTCCTTCTTGGGGCAGCTTGTATTGTGGAACACAAAGCTGTATGCTCAGGCACTGAACCGACCCCTTATTTTTCGTGCACAATGAGTGGGAAGCTGGAAGCAGCCAAGTTGGGGATAAACTGCTGATTTCTTGGAGCTCTATGGCTGTATTTTTGTGATTTGTTCTGTAACAGTGGTTTATTTTGATAGTTGTTTCAATTTTGTGTGAGAGTTTTAGATAGTGATTCTTGAGACATGGTGCCTTTGGGGCCTTCTACTCCTGTAGGTGGTGCACAATCAGTTCCGTCTTCTCTTTTGCGGACTAATTCGGGGATGTTAGGGTCGCAAGGTGGTGGTCTTCCTTCTCAATCCGGGTTCCCTTCATTAGTGTCCCCTCGAACTCAGTTTAGCAATATGAATATGCTTGGAAATGTGCCTAATGTGTCTTCCCTTCTTAATCAGTCCTTTGGGAATGGGGGTCCGAACCCTCAGCTTTCTGGTCCTGGGAGCACTCAGCGTGGAGGAATTGACCCAGGGGCTGAATCTGATCCACTTTCAAATGTTGGTACTGGGATGGGGTTTAATGCCCCATCATCATCATTTGTGCCATCGAACATGGCAAACCCCGGATCATCTGGTCAAGTTCAAGGCCAACAATTTTCAAACCTTTCAGGGAACCTTATTTTACCGGATCAACAGCAACCCCAACAACCTGAGTTGCAACATTTCCAACATGGTCAACCGGGAATGCAACAAGTCTCTGCGCCTCACAATACCCAACAAGGACAGCTGCTGCAGCAGCAACAACAATTTCAATCTATTAGAGGAGGCTTGGCTGGCGTTGTAGCAGTCAAATTGGAGCTGCAACAACTGGCTAATGATCAGCATGGCCATCAGCAACAGCAGTTGCAATCGCTTAGAAATCTTGCTCCTGTTAAACTGGAACCACAACATATCCCGCCTACAAGGACTTTGGCACTGGTAAAAATGGAACCTCAACATTCAGATCAGTCATTGCTTTTGCATCAGCAGCAGCAGCAGCAACAGTTACTCCAAATGTCACGGCAGTCCCCGCAAACTGCTGCTGCCCAAATTAATCTTTTGCATCAACAAAGACTCTTGCAGCTTCAACAGCAACAACACCAACAGCAACTTTTGAAAGCAATGCCTCAACAAAGGTCACAAATACAGCAGCAGTTTCAACAGCAGAATTTGCCTTTGAGATCACTCGTGAAATCAGCATATGAGCCTGGGATGTGTGCCCGGCGTCTGACACATTACATGTATCAGCAACAACATAGACCTGAAGTAAGATCTCCATGGTCTAAAGATCTTTTCCTCTGCATTGAGTGGCTTTGTAGATGTAACATTCTTGTTCTCTGTGTAGGACAACAACATTGAATTTTGGAGAAAATTTGTTGCCGAGTACTTTGCACCAAATGCCAAAAAGAAGTGGTGTGTTTCTTTGTATGGAAGTGGCCGCCAAACAACTGGTGTTTTCCCTCAGGTCTGCTTCTGATTAAAACTTGCCAAGTCTTCTTATTCAATTGGCATTCTTATTTGATTGAATGAAGCTGTCATCTTTAGAACTTTATATCTTTGTTTGTTTGCTAACCTTATAGATGAAATTTTCCTCTTGGTTTGAGTATCTTTATATGTTTATATTTTTCTGTTTCTAATGACTAACTATTAGTGTAAACGAGGTTTAAACCGCTGTATAAATGTTACAGGGTGTATGGCACTGTGAAATATGCAATCGGAAGCCAGGACGTGGTTTTGGTATGCTTTTCTCTTTCTTTTGTCTCTCTTTATGGTTGTTCATCTTTCTTTCATTTTATATTAGTGTGGTTAATATGTATTAGTGCTTCATATGGTGTGTCAACAAACTGGAATGTCATCTTATTCTTGCATAAATTGGTATATTTTGGTTTCTTACGAGCTAATTCATCCATTTCTCACCTGTATATTAATATTTTCCTATTGTCCTTTCAGAGGCGACTGCTGAAGTTCTCCCTAGGCTTTTAAAGATTAAATATGAAAGTGGTACTTTAGAAGAACTTCTTTATGTTGATATGCCCCGTGAGTATCAGAATTCATCTGGCCAAATTGTCTTAGATTATGCAAAAGCAATACAAGAAAGTGTTTTTGAGCAACTTCGTGTTGTTCGTGATGGTCAGCTTCGGATAGTTTTCTCACCAGATCTAAAGGTTACAAATTGAAGTAATGACTTTACATTGACGTTGAACATTTTGGGGTATCATTAACAAAGTTTTGGCTCTTTAATTCTTTTCACCAGATATGTTCTTGGGAATTTTGTGCTCGGCGTCATGAAGAACTCATCCCTAGAAGATTATTGATACCTCAGGTTATGAGTCTCTATAGCTTGAGAATGTCTGATATATGCTGTTGACAATATGTCTGGACTGTATGAAATCTATGTAGACTTGTTGATTGAGTTTAAGTAAAGGAGATCCATCAACGTTTATTTATGTTCTGCTTTTATAAAGATAACCTATCAAGAAGTTAGAATGTTTTCTATTTTATGACCGGCTGCATGAAATCTTCCTTTTGTACTGTTCTTGTAGTCTGGAAAATAACATATCAATGATGATACTGAATCATCTTATTTTTCTTGTTATTTCCCTAAACTATGAAGCGGATTATTATTTTGTATGATTGCTGTTTATAGGCCATTTCGTTGTATTTGATGGCTGTAATTCTGGGTGGTACAGGTTAGTCAGCTTGGGGCCGCAGCTCAAAAGTATCAAGCTGCAACTCAAAACGCATCAAATTTATCTGCTCCAGATTTGCAGAATAACTGTAACTCGTATGTCCTTTAGTATCGGTTTGTAAAGGTCATAAATGAAAAGTCTCAGAGATCCTGGTTAGAGCTTGGTATTTCTCTCACACCCACGTACATGGGTGATGGGAATGTGAAACCAACTTGCAGTAAATCTGTCTACTTTTCTGTTTACCAAATACATTTTAGTGTGATCTATGTTACATGTATGGATTTCTAATTAGCTATGAATGAACCTCAGGTTTGTAGCATCAGCTCGGCAATTGGCTAAAGCCTTGGAAGTGCCATTGGTAAATGATTTGGGTTATACAAAGAGATACGTGCGATGTCTTCAGGTGATTTCTACAATCTTATCAAGTTCTTTTGGCTCCATATCAAATGTATTTGCATCATCAAAATGTTTGTTATATGTTATGAGTGACAATGAGATAGACTAGAATGTGAACTCAAGTTTTGTAGTTGTATTTCTATGAAGAATTTTGCTTTTGAAATGTGTATTGTCTCATGCATTGTTTCCTTATTTTGTTGGGGTTTCAACAGATATCTGAAGTGGTTAATAGCATGAAAGACTTGATTGATTACAGTAGAGAAACGAGGATCGGACCCATGGGTAAGTTTTGACAAGATCTACTTTGCTAAATTTATTTTACCTTCCTTTTTTTTGATAGGAATGTCAGGCCTCCTTAAAAACCTCCTTTTTGATTAAAGGAGCTTGAAGGTAAGCTCCTTAATCAGCCGAGGGAGGAAAAGAGTGCCTTAAAAACTTTATTGCTCATCCGAAATTACATAAGATTTAACAAAAACACCATACTGAAAAACATAACAGACTAAACAACTCAACTAACAACCAAAAACCTAAAACTCAAACAATACAAACCACTGGTAACGCCTAACAATCAACCAATTCCCATCTTTGCTAAACTATCAGCCTCCCCATTACACGCCCTTGGAATCAATCTAACTGAATGCACCCTTCCCGAAATGATTGATGAAATCTCTTTAACTAATGGTAAGATAAAAACAGGGGCCAAAGCTGGGGTCTGAACCCATTCCATAGCCGACTTACAGTAACTATCCACAATCAACCTTCCAACATTAACCCAACAAGAAGACATATAGATTTCAATGCCTCTCTTAATAGCCTTTAACTCAGTAACCGGCGGGGGACCTTGGCCTACATTTTCTGAAAAAGTCAGAAGAGAGTTGCTATTCCAGTCTCTCAAAATACCTCCTATACCTCCATTTGAACCATCGAGTCTAACAGCTCCATCAACATTCAACTTCAAAAAATCAACAGGGGGTGAGAACCAACGAGAAACCTGAAAATTCTTATGATTAAGAGCTTTAATACCGTCTGCAAGAGATGGATCGCCAATCAGCACATCCTCCTCCTGAATAGGAAACGTAGGGTACTTGGCTAGAAACCATTTAGATAACCTGAATCTAGCAATAAAAAACAGAGACATCCTATCAAATGGAGAACCTTCGAACACCATTGCATTCCTAGCTTTCCAAATCGACTAAAATACTACTCCCGGAATAAATTTCCAAATCAACGATTTCCCCCTTAGTTCACCCCAAGAACTGAGCAAAGAAGGTGGATCCTTTGGAAGAACTAAGGCTATATCCCAAAAGCTTGCTATCTTATTCCAAAGTTCCCAAACTACAGCACACGAAATAAATAAATGCTGCACTGATTCCACGTGTTTTTTACAAAACAGACAGAATTTCATCCCCTAGTTGCATACCTCTTTTCACCAACTCTTCTCCCACTGTCACTTTATGATGAGCTAGCTGCCACAGGAAAGCTTCAACACGAGGAGATAATCCCTGCCACACCCCTTTTAACCACATATCGGACCCCCCAGACACCTTGCCGAGTTCATTTCTACAAGATTTTACTGAAAACAATCCATCCCCACTTGCAGACCAAGAAAGAAAGTCTTCTACTGAATCAGTCAGTTTAAAGTCCTTCAGTTTTGTCATCAATTCCAGCCACTGATCCAACTCCCAGTCAAACAAATTCCTTCTGGTTTCGATGTTCCACACCCAACCATTCGAATCAAAATTGCCAAACTCAGCGACCATACCCCATTTATTTGTAGACAGCACATACATTCTAGGGAAAAGATTTTTTAAAGGGAACTCGTCAGCCCATTATCAGTCCAAAATGAAATAGACTTTCCATTTCCCACTTTCAACTTGGAGTATGATATGATACATTCACCCTCCGAGTCGTTCTTCAAGAAATTGTTGGCAATACCTCTCAAAATCCAAGAAGATTTGGGCGAAAAAACCTTGCTAATAGACATGGAATTACAACTTACCTTGTGCCTGCAACATAACACAATTTTCCACAAAGTATTATTTAATTTATTTTACCTTCTCATTGGCTTTTTAATTTTAAATATACTTCTAAACACTTGAAAGTAGCGGTCCAGGCATCCTGCAAGTACTCTTCAGAGTTTCTGGTAACCTCCATTTTTGTATCAGTTTATAACCTAATTTCAATGGGAGTTCAGTAAGCTCTTCTGACTATCAGTTGTAGTCATCTGGTCGCTTGATATTTTCTTACGTTTTATATTTTGCACTTTGAAAGAGTTCTTGGTGTCCAGTTATCAACAACCCGATGTGTTCATTTAGCTATACCATTGAAAATAGTGTGTTTGTATTTTGCAAATAGTGAGAGAAATAAGAACTTTCAAGTTTATCTTCAGATTCATTTGTTCTTGTGTTGGCTCTATGATCTCTCTGCTGGACGGTTATCTCATTCATTTTGTTTTTCGGCAGAGAGTTTGGCTAAGTTCCCTCGAAGAACAAGCGCTTCATCTGGTTTTCATGCTCAAGCTCAACAGTCCGAGGAACAGCTAAAACAGCAGCAGCAGACATTGCAACAGAAAATGATGTCCCAGAGCTCTAATGGTGATCAAAGTAATGCCCAGGGTTCTGGGATGCTGCTTCCTGCTAACAACGGTGTGGCTAATATGAATAACTCGCTTAATGTAGCATCTGCATCAACATCTGCCGGCATCATTGCTGGGTCTCTACACCAGAATTCCATGAGCTCCAGGCAGCCGAATTCTATGAATAATGCAAGCAGTCCCTATGGTGGAAACTCTGTTCAGATTCCATCACCGGGTTCCTCTACCAGTATACCACAAACACAAGCACAAGCAAAAGGAAATCCTTCTCCGTTTCAGTCGCCGACACCCTGCTCATCTAATAATCCTCCTAAAGCTTCAAATGGCGCCTTAGCAGCTTCAAGTCACATGAGTTCCACAAATTCTCCAGCAATGAACATGCCCATGCAGCAGCCAGCTCTTTCTGGTGAGGCTGACCCCAATGAATCGCAAAGCTCCGTTCAGAAAATCATTCATGAAATAATGTCTAGCCAACTTAATAATAATGGTGGCATGGTCAGTGCCGGCACTCTAAGCAATGATGTGAAGAGCGTAAACGGAATGCTACCACCAAGCAACAATACAGTTCTCAATGGCGGCAACACTTTGATTGGCAACGGGGTCATCAACAACAATAATCCAGTTAGTGGCGTTGGGTTTGGTTTGATGACTGGTGGACTCGGCCAGTCTGCTATAATGAATGGAATCAGAGCAACAATGGGAAACAACCCGGTCGTGAACGGTAGGATTGGTATGGCACAGATGGCTCGGGAACAACACATGAACCACCAACAACATGACATGGGGAACCAGCAATTGAATGGGCTTGGAGCAGTTAATGGTTTTAATAATAATTGTCAATTTGACTGGAAACCTTCCCCATGAGAAAATGACATGGGTTTCTTTGATTACACTATATATGATAGATCAAGGTCTTCCCTCCCACTGTACTAATTTCAGAGAAAGTGAAGAACATATAGCATAGTGTTTTATTAAAAGCAACTTTAAAGTTGCTCCAATTTCCTATTAATTTGCTTACTATGATTATATTTTACTTTTACTGCACAAGCAAAATGGAAAGATAAATTATGTCATTTTAAATGGATTATACACAGAGACTGACATCATGGCACCAAGAAACCATGTAGAGTTCTTACAAGAAGATGTGGTTTTGCATCAAAGTTCAGGCATCGATATATTTCTCAAGTGTAGCTGCAATGGTAGCCTTGGGCACTGCACCAATGATACTCTCTTTCTTCTCTCCATTCTTGAAGAATAGCACGGTTGGGATGCTTCTGATCCCGAATTTCGTCGGAATGTCGGGGCATTCGTCGGTGTTGAGCTTGTAACAAACAATCTTTACGGCATACTCCTTGGCTAATTCAGCTATGACTGGATCGAGCACCCGGCAGGGTCCGCACCATGGCGCCCAAAAATCGACTAAAACTGGCTTGTCACTGCCGACGACAAGCTTGTCCCAGTTTGCTTCTGTTACCTGCTCAACTGCAATTTGCAGATAAACTTAGATGAAGTCAAAAAGAGTAAATATGTAAGAAAAAAGATTCTTACCTTGAGCAACAGCATCACTAGCTTTGCATACAAGCCTGGATTTCTGGGATGTACCAGTGAATGATAAACTGGGTTATTGAATTTCAACCCACTAAATGTCTGCAAATGGATCTTCTCAACAGATGAAGAAGAGTGATGATGGAAGCTTTGAAGCACAGTGGCTCTGGTGTTGTAAATTGAGCTCAATTGGAAACAGCTTTTTATAGCCATCCTTTGATAATCTGACTATATGGAAAGGAAGATAACTGGGAATAAAAATATGGACTGGATTTTTGGTTTTTTAATTTTTGTTTGTTGGAGTCTTTTTCGATATTTCTGTCGTCTAGCTTTTGGTAAACAGAAAATATGAGGTGCTCGAAAAAGAGTCAAATTGCATATGGATAACATTTGATAATTTCAGTAACTTATATTCACAAGGAAAGCCGTAGCGTTAATCATTTCTACTTCTGTTTAAATTAGTTTATATTTAGTTTAAATATGACATTGTTACTTATATTATTTTAAAATATTATATTTTAATTTTGTGATACTGAATCACCATATTATTTTTATTTAAATATCTTGATTACATTATTAAATTTTGTTAAATTTTATCGTTATTTATCAATATAACATTTATAAAAAAGATAAAATAACTTTTAAATCTTTTATATTTATAATTTTTATCAATTTGATTATTAAAAAAATATAAACATGAATGATTGGAATTTTATTATTTTTAATGATATTTCTTTTAAAAATTAAAAGTCAATTTGATTAAATTTTAAATAAAAATAATATATATATTTTAATTGTATTTTCGAGTGGTATTTATTATTATCGATTTCGGTAAATAATGGAGTTATATTACGGTAACGTTATTAAAATAATACTTCAAAATTATTTTCCAAAAGAATTCATTTCTGTTACATAGAATAAAAGCACTACGACAATGAAAAGTTTCCTTCTGACGTGACACAAATGATGGAAAACGCCTTCTTGAGGAAACGCCTTCGTTCCAAAATCACCGCAACAAGAACACCAATTTTCGGATTTTCTTTGCGTTAATTTTAGGGTTATGGTTTTTAGTGTTAATTTTAAGGTTACTCATTTTAGAGTTTTGTTATGATTAGTTTTAGGATATGATCTGATACATACTAGCAACCAAGGCAATCTTCCATCTCCAACCTTTAATCACGAGGGAGTTTTCTTTACTTTGTTCAATTCCTACTTTGCATTCATTGTGTTTATATTCATTACATATATCTTTCACTATGTTATGCATATAATCATATATTTACATTTTATCTATGATTATAATAATCTTTAATTCATTATTATTATAACTTATAGTCCACATCTTTATATTATATACATTGCTACTTTAAATTAGTTCATATACTTAACTTAAATTTTATGTTTCTTTTAGGTTCCAACGTCTACATCAACTTGGGAGATGAATTTGAGCTTAACAAAGGACAAAGAGCTAGGAAAACTTATATAGGATTATTTAAGAGAGCATGAAGATCAAATGGTGAAAAGTTGTCCGTTGCCAAGTGAGCTCATAGCTGGATTGAGCTGAAGATTTGAGCTGGAAGGAGACTTCAATTCAGTTGGGGAGCTGCACCAACATCATCTATGACCAAAGGACAACATATTTGTGAAAAGTTATTTTTTCTCAAATCGTACCTTTTCTCGAAGAGCTGTCTTTTCGGGTCATAACTTTTCACGAGGAGCTGCCACATGAACCAACACATTAAGGAGCATCATTGGTCAGCTCATTATCTGTTCACTCACCTTTCAACCTACCTATTCATGAAGAGGTTCCATCCAAACATCATGACCATTCATAAAGGTGTTGCCATGAAAGGATGCCATTGAAGAGAGGTGTGCATTTATGAAGTCCATTCGGTCAAAAGATGCTTAAATTGCAAAGAGATATGAGGAAGCCAAGGTGCCTATTCGGCCAAGTCACACACACATTACACAATGAGGAGTTTGGCGCCAAAGTGAAAGAGCACAAGTCAATTCAGCCAAACAAGATGCAACCACCCTTAGCCGAATCATCATGCCTCCTTGGAAGAGTTAGCCGAACCATCTCCATGCCAAAGGACTTGTTCATTCATTCCATTAGTTATGTATCTTCAAATGAATCACGCACCTTGCTGAAACAACATCTAATTATTCGGTCAAACCTTTGATAGCCTATAAATGGCTTTGTCATCTCATTTGTAATCATCTCATTTTCTAATCCAAACTATTATGAGTTAAATATCTCTTTCAAGTTCCTTAAGAACTATATCGATTAAGTAAGTTTATTTCTATACTTGTGGCACCATTCTATTCACTTTGATTCTCAATATCTATTGGGTTTAAGACACTTCTACTATCCCTCAAGCAAGTTTATAAAGAACGGGGCTTTGCTAATTAGCATTGTTTCTTCTTCGGAAAGTTTGAGATACTTTTCATCACCATAGCCGTCCATCATCATCAACTTCATCTATCATCTTCATCAACACCATTGAAGACCATCATCATCATATTTCTTTCCACTACCAACTCTTTCATTAATTCATTTCCATTTCATTTACTTAAGTTTTTATTTCATTTCATTTCTAATATTTTCTTAACTTTCCTTTGTTGCAGCCATACTTAGGATTCAAGGGCATCATTTCTATATCTCCTAGATCAGGAACACAATAAGGCTATCTATTCGTTTCTTCATGAAGTGTTTAGATTTGCCTTACATCAACCGGTATTAAGAGCTCAGTTGGATTGACATAAAGAAGTGTCATTAGCATGCAATATATCAAAAACAACAAAAAGAAGTGCAAAGCAAATTCAAGACTCCTACAACACACAAGGAGTACAAAAAAACACAAAAAGAAGAAATTCAGACAAAGAAAAGAAAAGCAAAACAAATGAAGGTTCATTGCAATTCAAAGATCAAGACAGTGGAGACATATCTACATTAACCATACTTGAAGGAATATCTTTATTGTGTCTCGAGAAAGGGTGTAGTAAGTGTTGTTCTTGTATTGTAAGTTTTCATTTTTTTATTTTCATTTCTTTTTCTAAACCATTTCCTTTCTTTCCATCTTTTTTCTATCCTAACTTTAATTGCAGCTGACGCACACAAGAAAGAGAACTTGTTTTAATATTGAGTTAGTTCTTTTAAAGGACCTAACAAGAGAGATTGATTGGTAAAAGGCATACTAAGAGAGTGAAATCAAAAGGGGAATTGATAAAAGCCAAATATATATTCTCGAGTGCAAATATGAGAGTCGAGTGGAGTGATCTATCAACTTTATTTAGAGTGAAATTGTAACACCCATCTCCCGTATACCTTTCCGTACATGAGATACAGATATCATATCACTTTTAAAGTATTTCCCCATTTGAAAACCTGTAAAATTTTGTCTTGAAATTTAAAACCAAAAACAATTTTTATACTACCAGAAAACAGTCGTTGAAACATATTACTATAGTTATCACTCTGAATACATTCTTGAGCAACTTTTCTTAATTTCAATTACATGCAGAATTTTTTTCAAATGAACATGATTGTCCTACTGTTACTGATGAGAGTCGACCTTAGATTACTGATAGCTGCTCCTGCTCCCAATATCTGACTAGTCTTCGCTGTTACCTACGCGTGAAATCAACACCCGTTAAGTATATACTTAGTGAGGCATAATATTGTAAAGAATCTGTAATTTATACATAAATATCTCATGACTATTTAATGTCGAACTAAATCGCATACTCCATAAAGGTCAAGTAAATCCTTCTCAGTTAAACCATATTTTTTTCATACAATCATCGAAATCATTCTTAGTAATCCCATCATATCTATCCTTCTGTATAATTTTCCCAATTATTCTTTATTTGCCCTATGTATGTTAAATGATAAAGTATTGTACATGTATTGCAACAAGTGCCAAATGGTACTTTATCTTTTTATAATTATCATGAGTGACATCTTATATACCATTAATATACCGCTATGTATTTTCATTTGTGGCATCATTTTATGCTAATTATGCACTGATATACATTTTCATTTATGGCATCCTTTCATGCCAATTATGCATTGTTCTTCATCTAACTTGTATTAGTGGCACCTTTCTACAAAAATGCACCGTTAGGCATTAGTCTTTTATCCTAAAGGCATTTAAACTTTCTTCTAACTTGCATTATTGGTACCTTTTTGCCAAATACACAGTTAGGCATTAGTCTTTTATTCTAAAGGCATTTAACATTTCTTCTAACTTGCATTATTGACACCTTTCTGCCAAATGCACAGTTAGGCATTTAGTCTTTTATTTTAGAACAGTTTCTACTCTAATAATTTATTATAAACCCTATAATTTTGCACCCGTAATGCTAACACGGTAATTTACCAACTTTCTAGTTATGATC